AAGGATGCCGGTTCAATTTCAGGTCAGGACACATGCCTGGGTTGCAGGTTTGGTCCCCCGGTCAGTGCACATGCGAGAAGCAACTGATTGATGTTTCCCTTTCTCCCTTCTTTCACCTCTCTAAAAATAAGTAATATTTTTTTTTTTAAAAAGCAAGTAGTAACAATAAACACATAAGACCTTCGGATTCAGACACTTAAGCATTACCTAGGATTTTATTTAAATATTTAAAGGTTAAAAAATTCTACTTTTAGACTATACATTTAACAAATTTTGTAATTTTCATATTACATCACTATAAGTAAATAGCAATTTCTTGGGTTGGTCAAAAAGTTCCTATGGCTTTTTCTATAAAAGACATTTTTCATTTTCACCAATAACTTGATTTGGATACTTTGAGTATGTCAGCTTATCTCCTGCTTGGTATAACATTGATTGTTTTCAGTTAATGTCTCGATTTGATTGCTGTCAACTTCAACTGGTCTACCTGACTGGAGCATCGTCCAGCAAGAAATTTCCGGCATGAAACTTTGCAAACCACTTTTGACAGGTTCCATCACAGCACTTTCTCCATACACTGCACCAATCTTTTTTTTTTTTTTATCTCAGTTGTGTTTTTAACCTTTCTTGAAAGAATGAAACTAAAATGTGTATTTTCTTCCATCTCCAATATTACAAATGACTACACAAAAATTCACCAATTTTGATTTTTTTTTAAATGCTGATATGACAGCTGTCACGATACTATCTAACAAAATTGTGTCAAATGAAGTTAAAGACAACTGAACACTACTAGAGCCATCTCATGGAAAACAAACTTTTTGGCCAGCCCAATAGATTCATAAGTAGTAGGGCTATACTCTGTTTTCCATTACTTAATCATTTTTATTGTTATAGAAAAAAGGAAATTTTCAGGATAATTTAATTTGAAACCTGGCTTTAGTATCAAGGAAAATTTTGATTATAATTAAAAGACTAATTTGTCTCTAAAATTTTTGAATAATTGTAAAGTTTTGATGACCCTTTTAAGAGGTGTGTGATCTTAAATAGCACTGGTCTAAGTGTACTGTGTTACTATACCCTGAGAGGCTTTAAACATAGGCAGAACAAGGAAAAAGGCCTCAAGTATTTTTCTTTTTGAAATATAAAACTTAAATTAACTTTATGGGCATGTACTTCTTAATCTGGAGGTCAGCCTTTTATGAGACTCATGATTAAAGTCAGGCTATTACTGTCTTTCATAGTATGCTACATTGTATTCTGTTGCATTAGTTAAGATAATTACAGTAATTTAAGTTTATCTAAAACTTAGGCTTACATCACAAGGCTAGTAGAGTCCTACTGGGCAGTTTGTAAGACTGAGTATACATTTTTATAGTCTTTGTCCAAGTCAGCCCTCAGCATCTCTCCATTAATTCACTGAAAAAGTATACCTGGCAATGCGTGTATAGGTGAATTAAAAATTCTTGATCTTGGGGATCCGAACATAATATGATGATTATAATGTATTAGTAGTTCGGGAAAATTACACCTATATATTCAAACAAAATAACTATGGATGGCATTTGCAATTAAACTAGGTGACAAACTTCTCATGAACCCCTGCGTATCAGCAAATGGGGGCAAAACTACCAACCTGCCTGGTATTGACTTTGTCAGTAGAAGGAAGAATTGGGGTAATGTCTGACAGATAAGAGAATTCCACATCAGCCAGTTGAAACTTGAGTTTTTTTCCTAATAGTGCAAGGTACCCACAGTAAGGAATGGGGAGATGAGTAGTTTACCCCAGTGAAATCTCAAAATGGACCTGCAAAGATAAGACTCCCTTTTAGATAGAGACTGGACCCACACTGAAGAGAAAGGACTAAAAGTGGAATAAAATTAAGCAGGAGAGAGACAATAGACAAAGATAACCTAGTGGAAGGGAATACAGCTGGAAAAATCTTAGAAAGTAAGCCACCATTTTTCTGAACACTACTCAAAAGTCAGAGAAAAGGTACCTATGTAAAGTCAGAAGCTTTTCTGAATCCTGCATCATTCCCAAAATTTAATTTCACTTAAAAATGAGCAATAGGAAAATGTCAAATCTCAGAAGATGATCAAGATGCAGTATGCATGAATGCTTTAGTAAACAAAATGAAGGATCTCTGAAAAATTAAAGGGGAAGTTGTCAAGAAAGCATTCATGGGTGTCTGTAGCATTTGAGCTGGACTCATCTTGATGTCTAAATCAGAGCTGCACCTTGAGTTCTGTTTATAGTGGAGCCTGAAGGAGGCTTTAGTACTGGTTCCTGGTATGTTCTCAAGGCATGCTTTTGTTCTGGTAGCTATTACGTGTTGATAGGAGACTGGAATGGGAGAAGGTTAAGGTCATTATTTACTTATGAGCAAAAAAGGACAAGGAATATTGAGGATATTGTTATTTACTGATTCCATGTAAGACTGCTGATCTGTTTGCCTTAAACTTGTATATTGTCCTACACCCTTTTTCTGCCCCTACTTTCATCTTCATTAATTTAGACTCCTGGGCCTATCATTATAATCACTATTGTTTTGCCAGTTGCTTAGTTCCAAATCATTCTTGGTGATTGTTTTCTCTCATTCCATATCCAATTAAATTCAACAAATTGGTTAAATGCCTATTGTGTGTGTGTGTGTGTGTGTGTGTGTGTGTGTGTGTGTACACACATTAGGTACTCTTCTAAATCACTGGATATATAACAGCATGGGTCAAAACAAAGTTCTTGTTCTGTAGTTTAAAGTCCAGTCTGGCTGCAGGGAAGTAAAAATACAGGATGGGCAAAAGTAGGTTTAAAGTTATTTGTATGTAAAATAATAAAATAAATAATATATAAACATAAACTGTTACACATACTCACAGATGCAAACTTACTTTTGCCCCAGCACTGTACATGGTGACAAGTGCTACAAAGAAAAATAAGGAAGGAGGGAGAGATAGGCTTTTTACATATGGTGCTCAGAGAAGGCCTCTTTGAGGTTTCCACTAGAAGGCAAGCTCCAGCAGGGCAAGAGCTTGCCCATTTTGGCATTTGCCCTTGCTTAGAATGGCGCCTGACACGCAGTAGACATTCGAACTACCAGTTTAATGAAGAAATGTTGTGGGACAAAAAAATTTTTATGTAGGTCAGCCGCAGGCACAGTTGATCTTAAATTGTCATGTTACTATAATGTACCAATCAACTGAAAATTGGAATATCACCTGTCATAACTTAGTGATCACTTTGCCATCGGCGACCAGGTCAGTATCCGTCCCATATTTGGTAGCTTGGACAACGTAGGAGCATTTCGTGAACGAACATTCTAAGTACTGTAATGTTGCATATCCCTCGTGGGCAGTGCTTAGTTTCTGCTAGTCCCATAAGCATATATTCACTCACTAATGATCAAACAGTAAATGGCGACTCTTCGAGGTAAGCGGACGTGGGAGAGTGGCCCCGCTTCCGGTCTGGGTGTAGGGGACGCCATTTTTTCTGCGAATATCTGTGGGGCATGAACTGCGGATCCCGCGCCTGGCTCACGGGCCCATAATCTCTCCATAACCCCCGTCTGTAGACCCTGTTTGAGAACACCCGAATACTTGAATCCGCGTCACGCGCGTGCGTCTTCGTTACCGTACGGCCTGCCCCGCCCACCGGTTGCCTATTAGTTTCTATTGGCTGATTCGCGCGTCCTAAAGGAGAAGGAAAATCCCAGTAGTCATTCCAAATAACAGTAATTAAACTGACGTTATCACGCAACCAGTCACAAGCAACGACCTTCAGCCTTGTCCAATGAGATCAGGCATACGTCACAGCCCGCGGAGTTTGATTTTCGTCCAGGGACGCGGAAGTAGCTCTTCCGGAGGAGAGCAGCCGGTTGTGTGTGTGGGACTGGTGTGGAGGCGGCCGCGCCTCCAGTGGCGTCACCGTGGCTGTGCGAATGGCTCCAGGGCCTAGACCCGGGTCGGTTACCACCTGTGTCCTTCCAACCGAGGCGCGCGGGTGGACACGGGTGTCTGATCGTTCCTGAAACAGGACGAGCGCAAATTGGGCTTCGCCGGCTGAGGATTCCGAGGCACTGTTCTTTGACGAACCGCATCTTGACGTTCCCCGTGTTTGCCGGGAGGCTCGGCTTCGGAGGACGGTGAGCAAGACGACTATACTGGGCCAGAGCGAGGGACACGACTGGATGCTAGTCTCGGCCAGTTACATGCTAGTTGGGTGGCTGAATTAAGTCACGGATCTTGGGTTCGTTTTCCTTATCCTTAAGATGAGCGAGGAGGGATGGGTGATGAGGAAGAACTACTGTTCATTTCGTTTAAGCCTCGAGTCGGCCCCTGCTTACCCCCTTCTTACCCTCTTCTTGCCCCCTTCTCCGTTCCTCCCTCCCTCCCTCTTTCTTTGGTCTTTTCTTTTCTTTTGACATTTGAGAGAGGGGAAGGGAGGGAGAAGCAGGGAGAGAAACATTGTTGCGGTTGCCTCGGGAACGCACCCCAGGAGGCCGCAACCCCGGCACGCGCCCAGACTGGGAATCAAACCGGCGATCTTCTGCTTTGCCTGACGCGCCCAACCAACTGAGCCACACGGGTCAGGGTCCCTCCCCGCTTTCAAGTGTGTGCTGAACACACCTGTCTCTAGAGTCTGTCCAAAGCTTTCAGGACAAGAGGGACCGTCTCTGCTGTGTCCAGCCTATTGTTGATTAATATTTGTTAGACTCAAACATCCTATAAACTTATAATGCTATTTCACTGATGAGTTAAACTTTCCTTTACCAGTCCTTCCCCACTCCCCATTATTCTCTTTCACTTTGACTTCCTTCAAAGTAATCCTGGCCAGAGGGAAATAATTGATGGAGTAATGTGTAACGATGGGACTTCTAGTTTATTTAATACAATTTATGCAGCAATTATTTGTCAAGAGTACTGTTCTCTAATTTTTTTTCCTGAAGGTACCAAGAAACTGATAATGTTTCCTTGAATTTGCTTCTGTGTTTGTTTCACCAATGTTTCCCATATTGAATATCTTAAGAGAGATGCTGGAATATTTTGGTGTTCCTATGGACCAGGTAAATGCTTTCTTGATGGATTTGAATGAATGTGTTGTATTTATTCTGGGTCTCATTTTGAAAATGCCTTATATGTAAACATTTAAGACGAAATTGTTATTTCTCTTTAGGTGCTACCAAAGTGAGTTTTCAATAGCTTAGCTTTGATAATTTGAATTTAAAAAGGGATAAGATTACTGGGAACCTATTTACTTGATGGGTCAAATGCCAGCAAAAAATAGAAACAGAATGTAGACATGACCTTCATATAGTTCAATTTATTGCTTAAAGTACATTTTTTAAGTATATTTTATTGATTGTACTATTACAGTTGTTACAACTTTTTTCTCCCTTTGCCCCCCTCCATCCAGTGCCCCCCTTAGTTCATATCCATGGGTTGTACATATAAGTTCTTTGGCTTCTCCATATCCTATACTATCCTTAACCTCCCCCTGTCTATTTTGTATCTACAAATTATGCTTCTTAATCCCTGTACCTTTTCCCCCAGTCTCTCCTTTCCTCTTTCCTGCTGATAATCCTCCATATGATCTCCATATCTATGATTCTTTTCCTGTTCTAGTTGTTTGCTTAGTTTGTTTTTGTTTTTTAGATTCAGTTGTTAATAGTTGTGTTTGTTGTCATTTTACTGCTCATAGTTTTGATCTTTTTTTAAATAAGTCCCTTTAATATTTCATGTAATAAGGTCTTGGTGATGATGAACTTCTTTAGCTTTACTTTGTCTGGGAAGCATTTTTTCAGCCCTTCAATTCTGAATGATGGTTTTGCTGGACAGAGTAATCTTGGTTGTAGATGGCTGCTTTTCATTACTTCAAATACTTCTTGCCAGCCCCTTCTTGCCTGCAAAGTTTCTTTTGAGAAATTAGCTGACAGTCTTATGGGATCGTCTTTATAGTAACTGTCTGCTCTTCTCTTGCTGCTTTTAAGATTCTCTCTTTAACCTTTGGCATTTTAATTATGATATGTCTAGGTGTGGCCCTCTTTGGATCCAACTTGTTTGGGACTCTGAGCTTTTTGGACTTGTATGTCTATTTCCTTTTGCAAATTAGGGAACTTCCCTTTCATTTTTTTCAAATAAGTTTTCAGTTTCTTGCTCTTCCTCTTTTCCTTCTGGCATCCCTATGATTCAGGTGTTGGCACTTTTTGGAGATGTCCTAGAGTCTTCTTGTTTTCTCCTTGAGAGAATTTTTTTGAATTCTTGTTTCTTCATTCTGTACTGGTTGGCTTTTTATTTCTTCCTTATGTCCCAAGCTTCCTTATTTTCTCTGTTCATTCCCTGCAGATTTTTCTTTATTTCACTTAGTGTAGCCTTCATTTCTTCCCTTATGCATTTACCATACTCAGTGAGTTCTCTGACATCCTTATCACCAATGTTTTGAACTCTGCATCTGATAGGTAGGCTATCTCCATTTCACTTAGTTCTTTTTCTGGAGTTTTGATCTGTTCTTTCCTTTGGTCCACGTTTCTTTGTTTCATCAATTTGGCAGCCTCCCTTCGTCTGTTTCTCTGTATTAGGTAGAGCTGCTTTGACTCCATCTTGACGCACCTATTAGGTTGTAAGGGGTGGAGCCCTAGGTATTCGCCAGAGTAGGGGAACCGCTTTGCTGCTTTGTGGCTCTGTATGTGGGGGAGGGGTCAGAGAGGGAACAGTGCTGCTTGTTCAGCTCTCACCCTGTTTCTAGTCACTTTCCCCACTTCTTGTATGTGACTGGTGCCCTTTTAGCTGCTGCCCTGGTAATGAATCCCAGAGGGGGTGGGTTTGCAAATGTTCTAGGCCTGTGAGGGTCCTTTAAACAGACTCTCCTAAGAGACCCGCAATTTCTTCTGCTTCTCCAACCCCCACTGGTTTTTATAGCCAGAGGTTATGAGGCTTTATTTTCCTGGTGCTGGAACCCTGTGTTGCGCAGTCTGGCACGGGGCTGGGGGGGGGGGATTCCCTCGCTCCCAGGTGTCCCTCATGATTTTTATCCACCACACGTGGGTGTGTGACTGCCTGATCTGCTGATCAAGGCCTCAGGGCCGCCAGGCTGCATCCTCTCTGCCCTAGCTCCCCGTCTCCGCCCCTCCTACCTGTCTAGATTAATATTTCTTTTTTAAATCCTTAGTTGTCGGCTTCCTTCCATTCAGTTAGATTTTCTGGCAGGTCTGGTTGGTTTTTGTTTTGAAGTTAGTTGTGATCGTTACGGTTGTGCAGGGAGGCGAAGCGTGTCTACCTACTCGTCCATCTCGGCCGAAAGTGGTAAATTAAATTTTTAATCATCTAATGCTTTTATTAAGGTAAGTTTAGATTAATATTTGGATATAGAATGGCAAATTATAGCTTAAAATATTCAGAATAAGTCTTAAGGAGAAAGGACGACTTAAGTCTGAGAATGAGAAGCAAATCCAAGTTTGTCCACTTACTGAGCACCTACTATATCTGAGACAGTATGCTTGATTTTGCAGGCGATACAAAAATAGCAATACATGGTTTTTGTTTTCCTGGGGCTTAAAATGTGAGGACTAGCCAACATATATAGAGAAGTATAATACAAGACTGAACATAAGACACAAAATATTAGGGAACATTTATAGAATAGACATGTCATAACTCTTTGTTGTGGTGAATTAGAAGAGAGTAGTTAAGGGTAATTCTAGACTTCAAACAAAAGTTGAAGAATGACGTGCACCAATCTTAAAAATAGGCTACTCAGTATGAGGAACTAGGTTGAGTAGGGAGATAAGGTGAGTCAGATTTGCTGTTAGAATATATAAGCACAGATACCGTGTAGATAATAGTATATATGATTCTAGAATATAAGAAAGAAAAGACTTGATTCAAATTTGGAGTTATCTGTGTTGTTCTGAGATTTGGACCCATGGATTTCTCTAAGAGAGTGGCAGCCATATTATAGTGGTTTGTCATTTGACTGAGGAAGGCAGGTGGCATCAGCAGTCTTTGAAAAGTTTGTGAAAAGGAATCAGGAGAGGCCATCCACTTGAAAGGGCAGCGGGAATGAATTTTTTTTTTTTTTAATGTTAGAAGTAACTTCATGATTGCAAGTTTGGGGGAAGAACCTTATAGACAGGAAAATATTAAAATACAAATGAGAGTGATTGATCAATGCCCTGAAGAGGGTAGTATGGCAGGGGATATAAATAAATAGCCTTGGAAAGAAGAGGGACAGTCAAGAGTACAATGAAAGTTAGAGAAGGTGGGGAGATTTCAAATGGAGAGAAATGAAAATTGAAGTGTATCAAATTGTAGTCCTTGGTTTTCTCCATAATAGGAGAGGTGAGACAGACCACTGGTAGGTGACGGAAGCGGTGGTGTTGGGGATTTCAGAGATTGACAATTACTTTGGGTGATGCAGTATTGAACATACCACGTTATGAAGGGGTTGCAGAATACCTGGGTAGAATACCCAGGTAAAGTCAGCATGGGTTTGTAGTCTTCCTAAATATTTTTGTTTCGTCATTTTTTCCCCCTATCTAACAGTAATTGGATAAGAGCTAGTTTATCCATTAGTAATATGGGAACACAATATCAAAAGGATGATCCGGTTTTGAGAGCATGTCACTGAACCAATTAATTTGAAAATCCCTGCTTGGTAGGAAAGTCAGTAATGGCAAAAGGAGACTCCTAGACCAGGAATAAAAGAAGGAGGTGAAATCATAAAAATGAGGAAGATGGTCAATGGCAATGAAGGAATGAGAGCATTAGAAGGGCAGGAGTTTGTAAGGGTAGACATTACACAGCAGGAGATGAAAGTAAACCAAGAATAGGGTGACTTTATACACAGTATGTAGCTCTCACTGTAGGGAGGCCTCTAGGCCTGTGGTTCCTAGCAAGGGTACGCATATGAGTGGGAGTGGGGACACTTTAACTAAAATTGCTCATCCTGGCAGAGATTCTAGTGTTAATAGGTCTCAAGTCTATATCCTGTAGGCTGCACTGTTCAATGTGGAAGCCACTAGCCAACTATCACCTTTAATTACTTGAAATGTCTGAATTGAGATCCGCTATAGGTATAAAATATATTCTTTTTAAAAAAAGATTTTGAGTACACCATTCTATATTTTCTTTTAAAAAAAAAAGGAATTGCATCTTTTACACCTGCATTTTGAAAAAGTAGATATATAAACATGCTTACCAGAGTACTTTTTAAAACAATGCTTTATGTTTAAATAGGTTTTGCAGATTTGGGGAAATAAAGGCTATGGATCGGCTCGGAGTATCGTTCGTATTATTGGGAAAATTCTTCCTTTAGAACCTTGTCGCAGGCCTGATTTTGAGGTAAGTCTGTTAATGTGCATTGTTTAATCACTGGTTATAAAATAGTCATAGGTACTCCTAAGGCTATAGGGTAGAACAGAAGAAGAAACATTCCCTGCAAAAAAACTTTATCCGTGGAAACAGTTTGTTTCACATATGTTTTTGTTTATTTCTTTAAGTGATTACATTCAAAGATGGGCAGACGCAGAGCAATACCTGAGTGGCTTTTCTTTATTCTTCTAGTTTGTGATTTATGATAGATGACAGTCGCTAGAGGAGAGAATATCGGCGCACATTTAGACTTTAGACTAATATTTTCTTCAGTATTTTTTCTTGCTCATGGGTGCATGGTTTTCTATTGAACATCCCTTTTCTTTTTCCCTCTCGGATTTTTAACGTATTTAATTTCCATGGCATGTGTCTTTCCCCCACCCCCTACAGAGCTCTGACTTTTTTTTCCTTTTTTACTTTAGTTGATCCCACTCTTGAACTCTGTAGACTCTGGTAACTGTGGATCTGTAGTTCCATCTTTTGCTGATATTTTGTGTGTGGCAAATGATGAAGAAGCCAGTTATCTCAGATTTCGGTAATTTTATATACTTATCTTGGAAAGTGGGGTATGGAAAGCTGTAATCTGAATTCTTTGATGTGCTGAAGTTTGTTCAGACTCATTGAGCCTTTTTGTTTTGTCTGTCTCTGTATTGTGCTGTGTCCTACTAATATTTTCCTAATAAGATAACCTCTTGTTCCTCATTTTTAGCCAGTTTTTCTTAATGTACATTTAAACCTAATACAAGGCCTAGGAAGGAATGATATTAAAATGTTATCAGAATCACTGTTTATATTTACAAGAAAGCTATTTCCTATATAGATAGATACTAGATTTATTTTATTTTATATATTTATTCAAAACTTATATAGTTCTTACAGGAAATGATGTTAAACATATTTCAAAGTTTGAATGTGTTTCTCCTAAGGGGTACTAATTTATGTGTTAGTATATTCAGATACAGGCTATAAGCATACTCAGGATTAATTATTCAAGTATGACAGCTAAATTTTTTACATGTCAAACTGGTTTATCAATTTTCAAAAAATTAAAATACCATAAATTTACCCATAACATCATGCTGGATATAAGGCCTTTCAGTACTGTGTATTCAGAATATGTAGAATTTCTAAATAAGCCAACTTTATGTCTAAATAAATAAACTTGTAGCGTGTTTAAAGTGAATAGGCAAAACAGTTACAGGATAATTATTTTTATTTTACAGTCTAAAAGAGAGGCTCGTTCCTTCATTTACTGAGTATTTATTGGTCACCTATTATTAAAGTCTAAATTCTGTTCTATATGTTGAGGATACAATTCCATAAGATGCTGTGCTTGTGCTCAGTGAGCCTAGGGATAAATCATGGGATTAAGAGAGCTACTCTGATTTTGTTTTGGTGTCTCTTTATTCCTCTTTGACTGAAATAATTTATTCCTCTTGGAAAATCACACCCCCCCATTTTCCTCCCCCTCCTCATCCCCTACCCCTCCTCATCCCCTACCCCTCCTCCTGCTCTTCATCTTTTTTCTTCTCTTTCTCCCTCTACCTCTTTTTCCCTCTCCCCCACTTCCTCACTCTCTTTCGCTCCCCATATCTTCCCTTCTTTTCACCCACAGAAATGGAATATGGAAAAATGAGGAAGAGGAGAAAAGTGAATTTTTCCATCCTTTGCAATTAGTTTGGGATCCACTGTCACCTGCTTTAAGACATAACAAACCAATGGAAAATTCTCAGCCTGTAAGTGAAGCTGCAATTAAAAAAATAGCTGCCCTTGAAGATGAACTAACTTTTCTTCGCTCTCAGATTGCTGCAATTGTGGAAATGCAGGAACTGAAAAACAGTACAAATTCTGGTAAGGAACATATTGGATTTTTGTTTCAGTTAGATCTCACCTAGTATTTAAGTCAGTACAGTTCTGAATAATGATGTTTGATGTTCATGTGTTGTGTGAATGACATTGAATATAAAAAGATGTTGGATATATAAAATTTTTATGTCTGATGTTTATTTAGAATAAATTAAGACACAATACTGAAGGAAATAGCTTACGTTTAAAGAAGAGCTAAATACACTGCAAAATATTGTACTTTTGTACTGAAAAGCTTGTTTTCTAAGAAAGCTTTTCCAGCCCTTCAGAAAAACAGTGGAAATTTAAGAGGAAGAATGCCTTAACTTGAAAGAAAAGTATAGGTTTGAGGTTTCATATATTTGTAGTTTGAAGTTATTGTAGCTATTCTTCTAGCAAGTTAGGTGACTAATGCTCTCCAGATAATCCTTTTCTAAATTTTTAGAGACATAACTTGCTTTAACCTATAGACATACACACATAATATATGAGTGTGTGACTATATATATGTACATATATGTCATATATAATTTATATATAACGTTATATATAACATTATATATAAATTAATACTATAAACATATAATATGCACCCATAAATAATGTATAGATATATAATGTGTAATAATAAAAGTGAGATATACTTTTCTCTTTTTCTTTTTTAGCAATCATGTGACACACAGCCTTTTAGGAGCAAATCTGTTATGAAAAAGTTAGTTACAATACTCCCTGCTAAGGGGATTATATTCCGAGACTCCCCGTGGATGCATGAAACCATAGATAGAACCCTATAGATACTATACTTTTCCTATCCATATATATCTTTTCACCTAAAGAAAGCACTTCACAGCTTCTCTTTGGCATATCTAAATTGCCAGCATCATTTTTGTTTTGCTTTGGGGCCAATATTAAGTATATAAAGGGTTATGTGAACACAAGCACTGTGACACTTCGACAGTCAGTCTGAAAACTCAGACAGCTACTAAGTGACTAATGGCGGGGATGATGATTCATGTGCTGCGTGGGATGGAGTGGGACGATGTGAGATTTTGTCATGCTACTCAGAAAGGCACACAATGTAAAACATATACATTGTTTATTTCTGGAATTTCCATTTGATATTTTTGGACCGAGGCTGACTGCAGGTAACTGAAACCATGGGAAGCGAAACTATGGATAAGGGGAACTGCTGTGCTCTGTTCTCTTCCGGCTATTGCCTAAAAAATATGTGCTTAGGTGTTACTACAGTATTATAGAGTGCACCATTTTGAGTGTTTCTAACTACAAGTTACTGATCATGTTTTAGCTTTTTAAAACAGAGGATGAAATTTAGATTGTATGTGAATTACTGAAAAAGTACTTTTAATTTTCTCTTTAAAATATTTCTCCCCCTCCACTTTTAAGGGCCTACAGAGAAAACCCTAACTGGATTAAAAGTAAACGTACTAGTTGGCTTGACTCATAAACATTATTAAGCAGATGGGATTGCTTTTCCTTCCTGGCCACATCGTTATGTCAGTAGCATTACAGAAATTGTTTCTGCTTTGGTTTTAATTAGTGTTATATTAAAGAGAATTTGGCATGGTTTCTCAACAGATTACCTTGTTTTTAGGTTCCTTTGACTCGACTGATGGGCTCGGTGGTTTGAGACAAATGCCATCATCTGGGACTGCTCAGCTGAGTGTCAAACCAGATCCATTTTCAAGTTCAGTGCTACCTGCTCCTCCTCCTCCACCGCCACTGCCCCCTCAGTCTTCTCCTCTACAGCCTCCACGTCCTCCTCTTGTGCAGCCAGGATACAGCACTACCTGTGACTCCGGTAATTCAGCCACTGAAATGAAAAAACAGCACCCAGCTGCTAGTAAGACCAATTATAGTCGTCATTCAAAAAACCAGAAAAACAAAGAGGTTCCAAACATGTTGGATGTCCTAAAAGATATGAATAAGATTAAACTTCGTGCTATTGAACGGTATGTTGTCATAATTTGAGAAATGAACCAAAATTTTATATTTATCCTAGTAAACATATACACCTTTTCTCTTTTATTCTCCTTCTCCCCAAATGCTCCTTCCAGAGAATCATTTTCAGTTTTTTGACTCTTCTAGTGTATTATCTCCATATTTTTGAAACTTCTTTTGCTATTTATTGATATTTTCATTGTATTTGCTTCCTACTGTTAAAGATTAGGAATACATTCTCAGACACTCTATCTCTCACACACAGGCGCACACCCATACTCATTACATCTCCCCAATATTGTTAAATCGCAGTTTTTAAGTCAGTATGTAGAATGTACATTCTTAAAACAGTGTACATTTACAGGTAAGCCATTTTATATACTTACACATGATTATGTTTTGTTTGTTGAAAGATACTCTCTTTTATTGGAGTTAATTGCCTCTCTGAGACCCATGTTTGTGTTTTTAAATCCCCCCTCAGGAGCCCTCTGTCCCGCCCCGGTGTCGCTTGCTGCCCTCTAAGCCTGCTGCCTTGCTGTCCCCCTTCACCAGCATCCCGGGCGCTCTCCCGCCCTCTGTCCTGTGTGGCAGCACCTACTTACTGGGTGTCATGTCTTCCCGTAGCTTCCTAAGAAAGAGCAGGTCAGGTAGATTATTTTAAGACCTTGTGTATCTGAAAATGTTATTTTATTCTCACACTTAATTGCTAGTTGGTCTGGGGGTATAATCAGCAGAAAAGTCACTTTCTCAGAAATTTGAAGACATTGTTCCATTGATTACTAGCTTCCAGTGCTCCTGTTGAGAAGGTGATGTCATTCTGATGCCTGGTGTGAGACCTGTTTCTTTATCCTTGAAGCATTTAAGATCTTCTCTTTAGTCCTGGTATTCTGAAATTTCTCTATGATGTGTCTGGGAAAGTTCTTTTCTTATTTGTTATGCTGGGCACCTGTGGACTCAGTGTAGCATGTTAGGTTCATCATTTTTGGAAATCTCTTACAAATATTTCTCTGATAATTTTCTCCCATTCTTTTCTGGAACTCCATTAGAAGTTTGATGGTGGAATTATTCCTCTTCATATCTTTCCCTTTACTATTTTCTCTTTCTTTGCTTTTTAATTATAATTCCTAAGAAAAATTCTTTAACTTACCTTTCAACTCTTGGGTTTTTACATGCTGTCATATTTTTGACTTGTAAGAGCCATTTCTTTTTCTCTCAATGCTCCTTCCTTTTCTGTATCTTCCTGCTTTTGTTTATCGTGTTCCACTGAAGATATTAACTATAGTTGTAAGTTTTAAGGTCTTTTGCTCTTGAATTATCTCTGTTTGTCCTGAGTTCTTTTTTCCCATTTGTTGGTTTTGGTTTCTTGCTGTAGTTTTGGAGCCTTAAGTATCTGGTGATTGTTGGCTCTACATTCATATTTAAAAATGAGACCATGAAAAGCTGACTGAAGGTACTTTGCGTGAGGTGGATTGTCAGCTGGTGGGTTTACAATTTGGTGACTGAGGAGAGAACCTAACCATTTTGTTGGCCAGGCCCCATGTTTCAGTAGTTGTTTGTCTTTCCTTTGGGGCTAGAGAGTTTTTCTAGAGAATTCTTTAATCTTCTTCTTGGTCAGGAGAGATGGGAAATACACGGAGTACAAGCCAGGTAGTTTGAGAGCCGAGTGGGAAACAGAACAAGGAAGCAGTTTGTCATTCAGTTTGTACACTTTCTCTTAATCCTTTTGGGATGGCAGCTCATCCCTCATTCTCTTCATTTTCATCAGTTTTCCAGCTTTCGGCATTTTATTGCAATTCTTATCTGCTCCCTCATCTTGTTATCTTTTGTCTTTTTGGGTATACATCTTTTTTGTTTCTTTACTCTCATTTTAGTAGGATTTCACAGAGATCTGGCATGCTCACCTGAAAATCCCTCAGTGAGGTATATTTTCTATATCATAGTGTTAGGACAGACAAGTCATTTAATTCTTAACGAGGTTATGATTTGATCCTTGTATGAGACAGCTAGTACAGAGAAAAAATCTCATGTCTGTATGTACACACTTGATACCAACTTGATCACTTAGACTGGTATCATTGGGCCCAGTCAGTGTAAAATGGTGACTGTTAACATCACTGGAGAAACCCCTTTTCTCTCAGGTTTCTATAACTAACCTTGTAAGTACTACACATTGTTGTGAAATCTGAGGAGACTTCCCACATCTTGACATTTACAGATGTACTACCCATGTTCTCTGCCTTCCATCCTGTTTCTGTGATGAAGTTTCCTAGTTCATGCCTGGGCTCTCCTTGTCACTGGTTCCCCTTCTCTCTTATCAAGGATTTCACTTAAAATGATCCCTTCTGCATTATCAAATTTTTCTGCTTTAATTTATTCTTCTGCTGATGTGTTTCCCATCTTCAAAACGTGTGTACCCCGTTATTATTCTGTTCCCCATTCTGATATGAGTTCTTGATGTCATCTGCAGTTTGTTTTTATTTCTCACTGCCTTCTTCCATCCACTGTCACATGGTGTCTGTTCCCATCACTCCAGAGAAAACTGCTCTTGTCCAGGTCACCAGTGATTCCGTGATCTTTTTTTATCTTTAAGATTTTATTTATTTATTTTTAGAGAGAGGGGGAGAGAGGGGAAGGGAGGGAGAAAGAGGGAGAGAAACAACTTGTAACACCGCCAACTGGGTGAGCAACCCAGGCATGTGTGCTGACTGGGAATCAAACCAGCGACCTTTCAGTTCTCAGGCCAGCGCTCAATCCACTGAGCCACACCAGCCAGGGCCAGATCTTACTGTACCTCTTGCCCCCTTGGCAGCATTTGATGTAGTCAGCAGTTCCCTCCTCCTTGGAACACTTTCTTTGCTTGGCTCTAAGGAAATGGGACTTGGTTTTCCCCTTATCTCACTGTCACTCCTTGCTCCCTTGTTTACGCTCTCTCAGAGCCTGGTCTCCAAATGCTGGTGTGCCCAAGGCTCGGACCTTAGCCCCCTTCTCTTTTCTATCCACATTGTTTCCTCTGGTCATTTCATCTAGTCCTGTAGCTGGGCACACTGGCTGTGTGCCGATGACTCTCACGTTGACTTTTCTGTCCCCGAACTCTCCTCTGAGCCCTATGCCTTCATGACAGAATGCCTACTTGACACCTCATTGGCCGTCTTCCAGGTCTCGAGCTCCACAGGTCCAGGGCAGAGCTCTTCCTTCCTACCAGGCCTCTCCCCTCACTTTGCAAGCCTGTTCTCTTCTAAGCCTTTTGCATATCAGCAAATGTCAACACCGTCACCCAGTTGCTCAGTCCGAACATCTAGGAATTACCCTGGTTTTTTCCTCTTCTGTCCCATTTTTTTTTCTTCAGCATGTAGCTCAAATTTGTGTGTCTTCATGATCCAACTGCAACCCCCACCTAAGTCACTGGTGATGTCATATAGCCCGGATCCCTGCAGTGGCCTCCTTAGTGGTGCTTCTGTTTCCCTTCTCGTCCCCTTTTCTCCATATAGTGACCAGAGCGATCCTTTGAAAACTGAAGTCAGATCGTGCCATTCCCTGTTTTAAACCTCTGGTGATTTTTCCATGTGATTAGAATCGAATACACTTTGCTGTGGCCTGTAAGTCCCCCTAGGATCCAGCCCTTGCTCCTTTGTCTGACCTCATATCCTACTTCCCATGATACTCACTGCACACCAGCGATTCCTGGGTTTTTTTCATCTTTCTTTTCTCAAACGTGCCAAGCTTCTTCCTGATGCATCCACTGATGTTTGCATTACACTGACTCCTGGTCATTCCTTAAAGAGAATGTCATGTGGTTAAAGAGGCTTTTCCTGATCATCTTACCTAAAGCGCTTTCATCCTAGTCATTGTCACATTACCCTATTTTATTTTATTCTTAGCACTTAATTGCTCTTACTTGTTCATTGATCATCTGCCACCAGAATGCTCCATGGGAACAGGATAATGCTCTACCGTCAAAGTGCAAAATGGAGCCTGGTGGAATAGGAGACATTATGTGAAGACTGAGTGAACAATTAGCCTATGGTTTTCTTTTTATGAACTCTATAGTCCTTTTAAAAGTTCTTAAATATTAAGAAAATTTTTTCCATTGAAAAATTAGGTGATTTAAAATAAAGATCTTTAGCAGAGAGATATTTGGTAAATCCTAGGTCACGACGAGGTTGTGGTAGAGCCCCACTTGGTTTTATGGTCTTCTGATTCCTATTTCATTCGTGGCAAAAATTTTCAATCTTGTGAAGACTAATTAGATTGTGATACATTATGCTTATATTTCTGCTATGTTTTTTAACAAGGAGCTTAAATTATACAAAATTTTAATATATACAATTAAAAAAAAACAGATCCCCTGGAGGCAGACCCATTCATAAGAGGAAAAGACACAGTTCACAGTGGGACCCAGTGGCTTTAATATCCCAGGCACTCAGGCAGAAATTTGCGTTCCAAGATGACTCCTTTGAGAAAGAAAATAGGTCTTGGGAGCCTTCTCCATTTTCTAGTCCAGAAACGTCAAAGGTGAGCTCTAATAATGTAAAGTTAACTTTTCAGCTTTTCTAAAGTGTGTTACTGGGTTGGCCAAAAAGTTTGGTTTTTTTTCCATAAGGTGGCTCTCGTAGTGCTTAGTTCTCTTTAACTTCATTTGAAACAATTTTGTTAGACTATATTGTGACAGCTATCACATCAGTGTGCATTTAAAAAAAACTTATCAAAATTGGTGAATTTTTGTGTGGCCATTTTAATATTGACAATGGAAGAAAATAAGCAACATGTATGGCATATTATACTTTATTATTTCAAGAAAGGGAAAAATGCAATGGAAATGGAAAAAAACAAAAGATTTGTGCACTGTATGCAGAAGGTGCTGTGACTGATCAAATATGTCAAAAGTGGTTTGTGAAGTTTCATGCTGGAGATTTCTCGCTGGACGAAGCTCCACAGTCAGGTAGACCAAATGAAGTCGATAATGATCAAATTGAGACATTAATTGAGAACAATCAACACTATAACCACATAGGAAATAGCCAACATACTCAAAATATCCAAATCAATAAAGTTATTGGTGAAAATAAAAGTTATGTCTTTTATGGAAAAAATGAAATGAACTTTTTGGTCAACTCAGTATTTATGATATATCTTTGCCTTCAAGCTCTCTTACTGTAATTATGCAGAATGGGCTATATAATTTGTTGCTGCTGTGAATGTTTGTTTTTTTAAATTTTTACATGCTCATTTTAGCTTTTAGCTTTCTATGAAGTTTTTTGAAATAAAACACTTGGCTTGAAAAATATTGTGCATAAGTTTATAATGGTTCACCTTGAATAGTTGCTTATTTGATGTTACTTGATGAGCTAGATGTCTAAAACTTGGAGAGGACCAGAGCAAAGTGACACGATAGATTCATGCTAACCATAGTTCCATGTGAATAAGGCTTTTTCTTTTCCAGTTAAATATAGACTTCAGATTAGAATGTAGACTGTGTTTTTTAAAAAGCATATGGGATCATAATTATCTTCACTGACAATGCTTCTTGGTTGCTTAAAAGGACATACACTGCATTTCAAACACTTGATTGTTAAGATTGCTCCTTACCTGAAGTTTCTTTTTTTAATTTAGGCATAATTCTAATGTTGGGGGTGTTTTTCCCACCTCCTAACTGAGCTGAGATGGGAACAAGAGGACGTGGAAGAGGGACAGGGTCTGAAGTCAGGCGGATAGCATTCAGGAGTGGTAGCAGTCAGCAGAGGAGGGGATGGAAGACTAAGAAGCAGATAGCAACTCAGCATGGCAGAGGCGGGGGAGCTGTCCTCCCCACGGTCTAGCGTGAGCGGTCTCCGAGCAGCTGTTGTGGGTGCACACAATATCCCATGTTTATCATGTTGAGTCAAAAAATTATAGATGTAACTCTAAGAAGACAAAGTATATAGTTTATAACTATTAAAAGAAAAAGGCAAATATGCCTAAAAATAAATGCTTAACAGTTGTACAGATATTTAGAACTGGCAGAGTACTGTTTTACTCATCTTATTTGATCCTCATAGCAAAATCCTAAAATAACCCCCGCCCCCTGCCAAGGCCAGTATTACCTGATTTATGCTTAAGCGATCTGCCCGTACCCCCACTGACTGGCAGAGCAGGGACTAGAACTCTGTTTATTAACATTCTAGGGTGTTTGAAATCTTCAGTTACCTAAGAAATTGACTTGGATAACAATATACTGAGTAGAACATACTACTTCCCAGTGATAGTGGATCAATGAAGTATTATAGAGTTGTCTTACACGGTTCACTGCTCTTCGCATTTTCTCTCCAGTCAACAACTACAAGCATCTTAGAGAAAGAACGTCTTTTTTTTGTATGGTTTCAGGCACAGTGCCTGACACATAGGCCCACTCCCAGGTAAGTTTATTGTTGAATGAATTAAACCTCAAGGGTCATTTAGTGCTTGTGATGCCATTTCTTTTTACATTAGAATAATTTCTGTGTTTAATATTTGCTTTATTTCAGTTTTGACATCACATTTTACAGTCAGAAGGACAGTGAATTAAAGGAAGAGCTGACAAACACCAAAGGTGTGACCACAGGGTGAACAATGCAAGCTGTGTCTACACTTAGAAGGGAAGGTCACAGAAATATGCCAGTGTATCTTCCACTGCATGTCACTCTTCTGTTAATGAAATTAAGTGAAGTCTCTACATCAAGGTATATTAGTGCAGAGGTTGGAAAAGTCTTGATTTATTAAAAAAAAATCTATATATTTATTCTCACCTGAGAACATGCTTATTGATTTTAGAGAGAGGAGAAGGGAGGGAGAGAGAAAGGGAGAGAAACAATCATTGTGGGATAGAAACATCAATCAGTTGCTTCTCATATGCATTCCAACCAGGGACCGAACTCACAACCTAGGCATGTGCCCTGACCTGAAATCAAACCCACAACCTTTTGATTTATAGAACTATGCACCAACCCACTGAACCACACTGGTCAGGGATGAAAAGTCTTGACTCTTAAAAATACCCATTTCTGCTTTTGAAAGATCTAGCAATTAACTGGTTACTGGTGATAGATCGGTATCTTAATTTTTTTCATTTATGTTAATGTTATTAAAGGCTGAATACACACTTTGAATGGTTTTCCTAAGAGCTAAATAGTAAATGACAATGTTTCTCATCGTTAGAGAGCAGTAGAGTCTCACAGAAACCGTTTTGATGGTAATAGAAACCATTTTAATGGATTAAAAAATTAAGCTAAGTTTATTTATATTATCAGCAAATGATAGTGTGAGATTTTTAAAAACAATTTCTTAAAGCAGTTATGACATCCTAATTTAAGAGCCTTGTATCTTTTAAAAATGGGTAGTGATCTTGTTTACTTGGCCTGTAAGACCTTGGAGATGTTCAAAGAATATAATTTTTTCATTGAGATAGTCATAGCTTGAATTCTAAAAATTCTTTCTGAAGGTGATAAAGGATTATTCTTAGAAGCTGATTTGATATTGTTAGTATTTCAGGAATCTTCTTCCAAAGTTTTGCCTATATTTGCTATGTAAATATGTATGCTTGTTTTATTTCTTTTGTTCCTTATTACAATTATGCTGTTTCTTTGTAAATAAAATGTAAAATAAATGTACTTTTGTAATTTGGTTGTGTTTTGTAGCAATTCAAATTCACTTTTTTTCTTCTTACTACTGTGTTCCTAAAGTCTGAACTTTTTTTTTTTTTTTTTTTGAGAGTTCTGTAAGGAGAGTTTCTTGGGTAACACAAATGAAATCTAAGTTTGGAGTACTCATTTTGTCACTGCACATTTACTAATGTGATATGGAAATTTACACATGTCCCTAGACCCTCCAGCCTGTGCACCAGCCAGGGTCGAGGTTCCATTGCATGGCCTCAGCACCCACCCTCTTGCCGAGCCCTCCTTTCAGAAAAGGCCCCTCTTCCCACTGTGTTCTTGTGGCTGTGCTGGGGGCTGGGGGCTTGGCCCTCCCTCTCCAGCCGTTTTCTCCCTGGCCACCTTCCAGCTAGAAGGTGCTGTGCAGCAGCTAGCTTACGACTGCGAAGAATAGGTTTTGGATTACAGAGACATGAACCCTGATATTGCAGAGCTGTTGAACCAAGACCAGCAAGAGCTGTCTTCAATTTTTTGTTACATGAGAAAGGATAGCAAGAAAAATGTACCTTGTGGGTTTTCTGTTACTTGCAGCCAAAAGCATTGGTAACGATAAAGCAGGTATAGCAGTGTGGCTTTGATGCCTGTCTGCTCTTCCTTGTCCCTTGTGACTATTCTTGCTGTTGTTTCTGCCCCTCCTGTATGTGTGCCCACTTTGCCTTTTGTCTTCTTTCATTGTTCTTGTAATTAGAGTTTTTCCCCCTGAAATAACTGCTTTTCTTAATCTCCCAAGATAGCTTACATTTTCAGTTTTATAGTTCCCTTATTCAAAAATGTGTAATGAACAACCCTCCCCAACATCCAGATGTCTTCGGAAGATGTCACCCTCGGCCAAGTAAAGTGTGTTTCTTGAGATAGCTCAAGTTGTTTTGGTGGTGGTGGGGGGAGGGGTGCTTTTCTGTTCTTCAGAATGAATTTCCTGCTTGTGCAAAAGCCCATTTCAGCACCATGATGCCACCAGGATTGAGTGGACCATGGGCTCCTGTCTGTTGAGACACATGACCTGGTGTCCTGGGACATGCAGCTCAGGCCTTGGAATTTTGGGATGGCCTAAACTTGGTCTCCTGGTGACATGTGTTTGCTGTGGAGCTCCTCAGCATTAGGGATTCAGTGAGGACTTCTCCATGAGCCTATATGTAAACTAGCTAATACCTCAAGGTTTAAAAAGTCATATTTGATTGTATTTTAAATCTATCTAAATACACTATGAATGCCGAAATGGTTTCTCCTCTTGCAAGTTATAGAAATGCTATCTGATTTTCCTAACCTTAAAACATTAATTCTTGCGCTTGGCTATAAGTGCTCATCTCTCTGTTCCTCAGATGCCTTAAGCTTTGGTGCATCCTCCTTCCCCTTTGGCTGTTATTAATCCTGATAAACAAAGGTGTTTGAGCAAGGGCATTTGATGAAGCATTCCAATACTATTTTATATTTGGAAAATGGCGGGGGGTGGCGGAAAGCCTTATAAAATAGGCTACAGGAAATTAATGCTGCTCAGAGACTTGGCTTGTTGAGATACGCAGTGGTTGTCAAGGCAGCGAGGGGAGACGTGACTTCCGGGGAGTATGCAGCAGAATCGGGAGGCCGGGACTGCTGCAGAGAGGGAATCAAAAGGCCTTGCTTTACAGTGAGAGTGTACTTCTGCTTTAATTATGAAATCCAAATAGAAATTAGGTTGGGGGAGAAGCAGCCATTAATGTGGTAACAATGGAGAAAGAATTTGAAGTAGGTTTTGCTGGATATTAAGCCCAGATTCTCCTTCGGTTGGAGAGGTTAAGTATGCAATTGGATTTCTTTTAATAAAAACAAACTGAAAACAGATCAGGAAGAGTGAGGTGTGAGACTTACCAGAGAAGAGCTGTGGCAGGTGGGATTCTCTGGGAAGCAGACGCTGAGATGGAGACTAATGTGCAGGAAGTCTGTTGGGTTTGCCCTCAGGGTAATTCCCTGCAAGGAAGAGGGAGGGGGAGCGAAACAGGACTGAGTGAGGGAGAAGCTGGGCTGTGCTCCCTCCGTCTCAGCAGGGGCCCTAGCCGATCCCACAGGGAGCCCAGAAGCTGGGACTGGTCCTGCAGGGTTGTCTCCCATTGCTCTGAGGGTGCCGACTATCCCTTTACATGGACCAAACATTGGGGAAGGGGGCATGGCCTTGAACAAGGCTGTCTTCTTCAGCCCAAGGCAATGTTCACAGAATTTTGTCAGTTCTAAAGACAATCAGTTGTGGCACCACCGTCCATTTCATTGCAAGGGACATGGGTACCAAAACCGTTGCAGAGCTCAGGCCACCGTGCATTGCATTTAGCTTGAAAGGTACTAGCGTAGAATTCCTAGTACTCATTGCCTAGTCATTGCCCAGGCTAGTTTTTTTTTTTTTAAATTTCGTTTAAAAACTTGGGAGTGGGGAAAGGCAGAAAAGTCTTTATGTCTCTAAAGATCTGTCCCCCTCCAGTCCCACCCACCCCCCGGGTTCCTGTGTGGGTAACCTATGGTTGGTGGGTCACAGCCTTGTCCTTTTTTCTTCATGGGCATGACTTATGTTTACAAGGACTCAGGAGCATTAAGCAGTTATCACTTATTGTGGCTTTGGAGACTAAGGGAAAAAGTTCTGGAAATGTGCCCAGAGAACACAGTGACTTCTCTGGGCCCCAAGCTCTTCAACTGTAAAATGAGGACACCAAATGGAGTGTGCCCTGAGGTCCTGTGTACAGCATTAATATTCTATGACGCACTTGTGGGGTGGAGACAGAATCCTGGCTCACCTTGGTGCCTATGTCAGTTTCTTTGCTCTGCACCAAGTGTTCTCAGCTGTGGTCCTGGACAGCGGTCTGTGGGTATCTGAGAACTTCTGTTATAATACTTGGGAATGGACTGTGACTTCTAGCTCCGATTTTTAATGGCACTTATTATGTATCTGCTCCTGTTCTTAGTCCTTTCCATACATTGACTCACTTAGGCCTCATAATAACACTATGTACTACTGTTATCTTTGTTTTATAGACGAGGAACTGGGTGTAGGAAGCCCAAGTAACTCTCCGAGGTTTTCATAGTAGCAGAACTGGGATTTGAACCCAGGCAGACGGGTTTTCAAACACATTTTTAACCTTAGGCAACACTATCCATATTATAATGTTTCACTTTTAAAATTTTGCTTAATTGCAGGAAGTATTTAGGGCAGTACAGAAGGATATGTATGTAAAGCCCTGTAAAGCAACAGGAAACTGAAAGACAAAAAACAACAAACCACCCCCGCCTTAAGACTGCAGTTTTCCATATTGGCCACAAGAGGGCAGTATAGCATCGGAGAGCCTAGGCTGATAAAAATAGCTAATCTGTTCTATCTATCACATTTGGATACCAAGTTTTTAGAAGTTATAGACAAAGTGGAGTTAGATTTAGCATTACTTGCAAAAGCAGCCTATTTTTAATGACATTCGTGGATTAGAAATGGCCCTGTCCTTGACAGATCTCATATTACTCATGCCAGACTAGTTCAACTCCTTTCCCAATAAATATTAAACATTTTATAAAACTCAATGATAAAAGCAAAGAATAGTGCTGCTTCATTGCTAAACTTAAAGATTGCAGTGAGGTTCTCATAAGTTCTCCAGTTTGAATACAGCTATTTATTTCACTATTAGGGGAAAGTACAGGCTTATTATGAATAACAGGACTACAGTTTTTGTTTCTATCCCAGTAAAGATTGGTATATTAAAGTAGGGGATTTTTTAATATTAGCTATACCATAACATATACATGCAAATATCTGTTTTCAAAGATATTGCAATTGTTTAAAAGATCATTGTCCCTTCATTTTTTCTTCTTTTTATGTTAGCCCAACATCTCCC